TTCCACAGGCTTTAAATCGCGCAGAACGTTATTGAATTATTGAACGTAGTGAGAGCATTGACGTAGATATTCTGTGAGAATTGCTAAACCTGAATCAGTAGAATCTGAAGCAGCACGCCGGTTTTTCAGGTTCTCTGAAAGCCACACCATGGAGCTTCAAGGCACTAAAAGGATGCGTCATCTCTATGCTCTTAGCCTAGTGCATCCTCGAATCCAATATTGGGACTGCAAGAAGACACCGCTGCAGACTGAGTGCCACGGATTTGTTGGATCGATAACAACGAGGTCGAATCTCCTCAAGAGCTAGAAAGAAAAATTATCAGCATGCGGCTTCGTAGCTATTGGGTACGAAAGATACAGGATCCGAATGACTTACCTCCACGAAGACCTTGTTCAGCTCCATCAAAGCCACGTTTCGCCCCAAGCACTGCCAGCGACCATAGCCAAAGACAAGCTCTAGAGTACCCTCCATCAAGCGCAGCCTTTCAACGTCGGATTCTAGCCATCGTTCTGGCCGGAAAACGTGGGAGTCTTGACCCCAGATATCCTGCCTGCGAAAGATTCCCCATGCACAATATCCGATACGGGTGCCTTCTGGAAGATGAATACCCTTGAAGTCATCGCCAACTCCTCCATTCGAGACTTCCTTCGACATTTGGCCGACTACTGGTGGAAATATACGAAGACCCTCCTTGATGACGGCTTGCAAGTATGGCATCTCGCGAGCCTCTGCATCGGAGACGATGGGCCAAGACAGCTTGGCAGCGTCGATTTCGGCTCGGAGTGTAGCAGTTACTTGGGGGTTTGTGATTATGTGAAGAATGGTAGCCCGAATGGCGGTCGCGGTAGTATCAGAACCAGCTAGTCTTTTCAATATTAGTGCATTTGCCACGGTACGGTCGCCGCCTGAGTGTTCGATCTTACAACTGCATAAGAATCTCCGACTCAGCCTCAGCTTGTGTGAGCCCTCGCGCGACGAACGATCCAAGCATATCTTTTTGGACCTTCTTGTTTGGACCGAAACGCTCTGATGCAACTTTCTTGGCAATGCTAGACCCGGCGAAGAATTCCAAATGTGAGCAGAGGCGACGCGTAAAAGTGGCTGCATGGGCAGCAAGTTTTGCGGAAGAGCATGTAACTTGAACTTACCCCATCGTCTTTCCCACGCCGATTGCATCTTTTTCGGAAGGCATCATGCTCCTGAAAATAGGCGAAGAGAGGAGTGCAAGAAGCCATGGCAGAACACTCGTCACGAGAATTGTTGGCATGTTTTGCTCCATAGTCTTGATGTACTCATGGACATCCGAATCAGTTGCCAAGTCTCCAAACGGCTCACCGAAAGCCAGGTCAGAAATGACATCGAGGGTGAAGTATTGCGCCTTGGCTCCAAAGTCAAAAGCTTCGTCGCGAGAAGCATACTTCTCAATCAAACCGATGAGTCGGAGGACGTTTTGATCAATTTTGGCTTCGAGATCTTCGACTTCCTTACCAGAGTACTATCTATCGTCTTAGTTCACTGTGCCTTTCTCTTGTACATCGAGCATTTATGCAATTGCTTACACCTGCGGCCATTTTTGACCGGAGTTTATTATGCAGCTCATCATCTCGGGTGGATAAGACATTGTCTTGGCCAGGCTTGAGTCGCATTCCATCATACCAATTAGATCGCTTGTAAGTCGTCCGCACATTAAGCATACGCTTCATGAGATCCGGATCGCTGGTGATGAGATCATTCGGCCCGACACGAACTATTGACCCTATTTGGCAAAGATGGAAAACGGTTATTTTTCACAAGCGCTTTAGCGCAGGCTAAGGGGTTGAAGTATAAAACACACCATATTTCTCGCACGCCTCATAAAAGTCGAGGTGTGTCCTACCGCCGCCGACAGCGCGAACGAGCCACCATTTCGAAAATCCGGCGCTCGGTGGCCCCTTGATGTGCCGGAGCCGTAAGTATTGGCGAGCGATGGATACGACGCTGTACGCGATGAAGGCCGAGACTGCGATGCTGGCGTATGCGAGGTATTCCCGACTCATGGTCGCACTCGAGCCCACGAGGAACCGATTCGTGTATGAAAAGGTTGGATCATGGGATTGTGAGTGTGGATAAGAGGAGGAAACAGTGTCTCGGGCCACACATGGGAAGGGGAAAAAAGAAAGTCTGAGAGATCCTGAGACGAACTGCCTTCTCGGTCAAGGATGCCGCGGCACGGTGGAGGGCACGGGGAGCCTGGGAGGAGCTGGGGAATATTTTGACCGAGAGACTGCACCGATACGACGGTCAAATCCTTCAATGGCCCTGGAATAGCATACAATAGCAGCGAACATGACGCCGAAATGTTACCAAAGTTTCTGACGAGTTGACGACCCATGGCGATATCATTGTCGGTTCGGGGTCTCTGCCCAATAGCGTCTACACTTGCGACGGGTCTGGACCCCCTAGTCTTTAGGCGGCTTAGATGATTGACACGGCAGACTCGGGAATGCAATCTTCCCGCACGGAGCAGGGGCCGGCGTGACGGGGTTTCGATCCAATGAGATTGTTGCCGTGTTTTGCAATGCGCTGCTATCCCTCTCCTCCTCCTCAATCGCATCGGCAATGACCAATGCCAACGGATGCGTCTAGCGGGGGTATGATGCAACGTTTAACGGGCACGGCTTTGCCCGGGGGGCATTGCCTGAAGGAGGAGAAAGAATGCAGAGAGGGGGCAAGCGGTGAGGTCGCATCTCCTGATCTGCACCGTTAGATGCCATCTGCTGGTTCATTACGAGAGGCACAGCCCAACCGTCCAATTAGACTCTGCCTAATCTTCGATCTGGCGGTTAAGGAAGCTTGTGGCTTTTGTTTTTCTGGAGATTCTTCTGCCCTTCACATTTTTTTCGCGTTTCACAACTTTTCTTCAATTGCACATGTTGGTTTGGTCGCCGTTGAATTTTGAATTGACACCCCATTAAAAGGGTCTCATCGTTCGGTTCCTTCTTGAGCCTCGACCCTCCGAGGCTCCGACAGATTTAATCATGGCGGATCCAGCACCGGCGGAAGCCGGCCCGCTCGAAGCAGACGTCAGTTCGACGACCTTTCAACATATCTGCTTGCACTCGACAGACCTTGATGCTGATTCTTTTCGATAGAATGGAGAGGAGAACGACAATACCAATGATGACAGCGACTCAGCCATGGGAGTGGTGAGTAGCGGTACCTCGGTCTAGCGGTGCAATGTTACGCGTAAAGCTAACCCGTGTTGCAGTCTGTGCTCGGGTCATCTGCATCCATGACAAGCAGTATCATGCGTTACCGCGAAGAAAATGGAAGAACATACCACGCATATCGAGAGGGCAGTAAGTGATTCAAAGCTCTTCAGCTTGATAGCATCTCACATGTGCTATCGTACTGACCATAGCTTTTGCTTAGGATATGTTTTGCCGAATGACGCGGTAGGTGGTCTTTAGCAGCTTAACCGCCCTTCTCCAACCTCAACTTGGAACTAACGCGTCGCCTATCTGGAATCGCAGGTCGAAAACGACAGGCTTGGTAAGTGACATAGTATTTGTTCTCTCATCAAAGAGATACTCATGCCTGCGTAATAGATCTTCAACATCATTTATACACACTTACCTTTGATGGAAAGCTGTTTGTATCGCCGGCTGGCCGAGACAAGCCTTTAAAAAGAGTACTAGATGCTGGAACCGGAACCGGAATTTGGGCAATGGACTTTGGTAAGATAGCTGTATCCGCGAAGCTAATAACTCAAGATAGCTAATGCCCTATTCCTGGCAGCCGATGATCATCAAGAGACACTAGTAAGCTCGCCCAGAGCCCAATAATGACTCGCCCAGAGCCCAATGATTCCTTGTCAGGCAATATCTAAAGACTGGCAGATAACCGGTGTCGATCTCAGCCCAATACAACCGCCATTGTAAGTACCTTACCATCAGGATAACGATCCTGCAAATCAAGGATTCACGATGCGTTGATTCACTAATCAATGTTCAGTGTACCTCCCAACGTGACATTCTACATCGACGACCTAGAAGATGACTGGACATACTCCTACAAGTTCGACTTCGTCTTTGGCCGAATGCTCACAGGTTCCATAGCAGACTGGCCCAGGTTTATCCGCCAAAGCTATGAGTAAGTTCTTACTCACTGCACCCGGGCTTTAACACTGAATATATACGCCTCCGCGGCTCCGCCTTCTTGTCTGACGGTATATAATAGATACCTCGAACCCGGAGGCTGGATAGAGTTGTCCGACATCCTCTTGGATCTTCAAAGCGACGACGGAACAGTTAGCCCCGAATGCGCAACCCAAAAGTGGGCAGGGCACATGCTTGAAGCGGCAGCGATATGGAAACGACCACTCGACAGCTGCAAATTCTACAAGGAGCAGCTCGCCGAAGCGGGGTTCACCAATATTGAGGAAAAGATTTACAAGTGGCCGTCGAACCCCTGGCCAAAGGATCCAAAATACAAAGAGCTAGGTAAAGCGGCTTCCTGTTCAGCTCTCACCCGTGACATAGGACCAAAACGCTGACTGAATCGCTTTCCGAAGGGGTGTGGACGTACGAAAACCTAGGAAATGGCTTGTCGGGGCTTAGCTTGGCGCTTTTTACTAGGGCGCTGGGTTGGTCGGCGGAGCAGCTTGAGGTGTTCCTGGTGGATGCTAGGAAAGACATGAGAGACAGGTCTATACATGGATGGTGGCCAGTGTGAGCAACTACCTTTTCCCTTGTTACGAGATCGAAGTCCAGCTGACAGTATCTCAGATATGTGGTTTACGCACAAAAGCCGGAATGAAGTCAAAAGCAACCGAGTTGAGAACGCATCGAATGGAACGACAGTACACACGCACGACGAATATAGTTAACCCGCGCCGGCACGCAGGCATGGTATTCTGTGCTTGAGCCCAGCAAGTCTTCAAAATATTTACCTAATCAATCCAATGACCTGGATTATTTATCTGAAAAAGAGATTGCAATTAAAGCTCCCTCATTGTTGTTCAGAGTGAGGCGATACCATACTTTTTCTTGATGATATCCGCAATCTGCACTGAAGTTAGTAATCGCGTACTTAAGCGCTTCAGATGCCCTTCTTACCTTTTCTCCAGAGGCATAAGTCGTTGCCGTCGGCGCTGCAGTCAACACCATGGGCCAATAACTAACATCAATAACCCTCAACCCCTTAACCCCATAAACCTGCATCTCCGTATCCACCACACCTCCTTCTTCCTTGGGTACCATAGCCGCAGTACAACACGAATGGGCGTTCGAAGGTGACATGTTCGCAGCCAGCAACGTCTTCATCTCTTCTTTAGAAGCGGTATCATACGGTGCCGCCATCTTGGGCCCAAGAATCTTCATCGCCGGCGCAGACATGATCTCCTTCCCCTTCTCAAACAGCGCCACAGCGAGGTCGAAGTCAGTGGGATCAGAAGCAGTGCGAAAGTCAATGACGGGTTGCTGCAGCGGGTCCGTGGAGTTAATCTTCACCGACCCCCGGCTCAGCGCCCGGAGGAAGTAGAGCGTGATACTATTGCCGGTGCCCCAGTGGACCATGCCGAGGGGCACATCTTGTCCTGCGAGCTGGTCGAGAACGATTTCCCGCTGCTTCTTGTAGCCTTCTTGAACGGATGCAGGGGTACCTGGAGCAAGATACTCGGTGGGGTCGTGGGACTTTGCAGTGGCGAGGATGTCGCGCCAGGAGGAGGTTGTGTTGGCTAGCGGCGGTACGGCTAGGTTTGTGCTTAGGGTTCTGACGATGGTGTACGCTCCCTGCTTTTCGGCGTCGTAAAGGGCGCGTTGTTCAGCGTCGTATGTTTTGTTGGTGTCTAGAGCTCCAGAGTTGGGGAAAACATTGTTTTCAACTGTGTTGTTCCCTTCAGTCACTATACTTTTGCTCTCGAATTGAAATGGTACCAACATGTGAAGGGAACCTTTAGTTCACCCTGATCCATAAAGTTCTCGCCGACCCCAGGCAGATCTGCAATGGTATCGATTCCAAAGCTCTTCAAGAATTTCTTTGACCCAATGCCAGAAAGCTGTAGAATCTGTGGTGTATGGAGCGCCCCAGCTGCCAGCAGGACCTCCTTCTTTACGTAGACCTCGAGGGGCTCACCACCAGTTGAAGGTAGATACTCGAGACCAACGGCCCTCCTTCCCTTGAATAGGATCTTGGATACAGTGTGTCCAACCAAGATGTGGTAGTTGGGACGAGAGTCTTTGACGCGTTGGTAATGATTGATCCGCGCGTGGCTCCGGGTCCGGGTTGTTGCGTCGGCGAGGGTGGGGAAGTTGAAGAGACCGACAGCCCGGTCGCCGCCATTGGGGTCCGGGGAAGGGGTGAGGCCGCTTTGTAGAGCAGCTTGCCAGAAGTTTTCTACGTGATTTTAGTGGAAATTACATGTCGGAAACCTACTCCTCTTTGTATTGAGCTACATACCAGCACCAGGGAAGTAATAATTAGGATACGAGGCACGGACAGGTCCGTTGTGGCCGTGAGCCGACTCTACCCACGAGATGTTGGCAGCGTCAGCAAAGTTTTGAGGCGGGGTCGTGAAATTCTCGCTCTAGCAAAGGTGCGATTAGCATTCCCAGTTCCATGCTGAATGTATATCCAGATGGAACTCACTTTCCGAAAGTACGGCAATAGGTCATCCCATCCCCAGCCTTTGGCACCCAGCTGCTCCCAGGCCGCATATTCTGACTTTCCACCGCGCACAAAGACCATGCCGTTGACGACAGAACCGCCACCTACTACTCGACCGGCAGGCACTGAAAAGACGCGGTTGTTCAACGCAGACTGTGGTGCGCTATTCAAGTTGGGCCAAAGGTACGGAACAGGGAAGAAGGCACCTGGGACGAGGACGCTGTCTTCATCCTTGTCGAAAGGCCCGGTCTCGATGACTAGGACTTTGACTATATCACATGCATTAGGTGGAGGATTCACGTCTGAGGTAGATGAACTATGGCACGGTCTCTACTTACTGCTGGGGTCTTCGGTCAGCCGATCGGCAACGGTAAGACCCGAGACGCCTCCGCCGGCAATGACAAAGTCATAATCAGTCGCGGCAACCACATCTCGCGAGGCAATTGTGGCGTAGCGAGGGACCTGTAGTGCTAGTGAAGATGGGCTGAACGCCAGCAGTGCCAAAATGGCCTTCATGGGTGTTGTGAGAACACTAGGCATCTGTACTACTAGACTCAGACGAGGTTGAAAGGGTATCTTGAGGAGGTGAAGGAACAACGACGAGGAAGGACCGATGAAGAAGGAACACGCCGGAGACACTCTTTAAAGATGAGCTTCTCGTCAACGAGAATGGCAACGATCTCGCCATTGTCGCGATGCAGAAGCCCTGTACGTGCATATGCCAGTAAGCTGAAGTCTAAACGATGTTGCATTGGAGTAACTCAAGCCGGGAAAAGTCGCAGGAACGCCAATCGGAATGTGCTGCATGAGCTAGTTTCTAAGAACGATGGGGATGCTTAGGCCTAGAAGAGCGCGTGTTTGCTTTGTTTTGTAGAGGTAACGAATTGAAGTCGATCCTCAAATGACTATGAAGGGAATGACTGCATTCAAGTCGGGTTGTTCCGTGCGGGGAAGGGCTCAAAGTGCGGTATCAATGGAGGCTGGCACAGACGCAAGTAAGCAGTTGCTACGTCAAGCCAGTCTTGGCATAGTCTTCGTGATAGAGGAGTGGCCGTTATGGTTAAGCGCAGACGTAACCATCATCGTAAAGGTTGATTGTGAATTGGGAAGAATATTAAATTACGACCAAATCTTTCTGTGAATGGTATCTCTAACCACGATCTCTAAATGAAGACTCGACCCATCGTGCCTCGTACAGGGTTTCGGATACCCATGAATCAATTACGTGAAATCATTACATCAGCAGTCTTGGTACATCCAAACTCGATCCTTAAATCTTGCTAGGCAGGTTGTCATTGTTCTCCGCAGGGCGGATCTGAACGTCGTCAACCGCAAGAGTTTGCTGGTCGTTCAACTTGGGGTTCCTCAGGAGGAAGGCGAATGCGATAAGAGGGACCGTCAAGCAGATACCGGTAATGGTAAGAAGACGCTGGACGTGCTGGTACGAGTCGATAATGGCCGCGCGCTCGGGGGTTCCAACGGGGTACTCGGCGATGGCAACAAAAGGCTGAGCGTAGGTTACGGTAGCCAGAGAGTCATTGCCAAAGGGTGCAAGGTTCTCTTGAAGGACGGAGGGCAGAACCTGAGTCCAAATAGCGCCAGATACTGTGTTGCCGAAGGCAGATCCAATGTTATAAGTGGCGAGGTAGAGACCGGTCATGATTGCAAGGTGCTCGTGCTTCAGAGTGGTCTGGAGCGAGGCTTGCGCAGGATAGGGGAACATGCCACCTGCAATACCGAGAAGGACCTGGGCACCGATGACACCGCTTTGTCCGGCGGAGGTAGGAGAACCACGATAGTGGATCAACAGACCGAAAGCGACCATGAAGAGCATGGTACCGGCGATGATAAAGTATTTGAGGCGGCGGACCTTGAAGACGATGAAGCCCAGGATAAAGCCGGTGATGACACTGCAGAAGGAGTACAGCGACGTAATCCGGGTAGCGGACGCAATGCTGAAGTCGAAAGCAACGATACAGACGGTGTAGAGGTAGTCTCCCTGCATGTACCAAGCCCAGTTGAGACCCAGTGCAATACCGAGAGGGGCCAGGATACCACGGTCGCGCATCAACTTGAAGGGAACGAGAGGGTGCTTGGCCTTCATCTCCCACACAGCGAAGACCGGGATGCAAAGGATACCGATGACGAGGGGGGCAATGACGTGAGCCTCGCGCCACGTTGTCGAGAAGCCACCGGCAATGGTGAGAGGAACCAAAATTAGGGCGAAGATGGCGATAACCAGGATGATACCGATGACATCGAGCTGCCAGAACAGCTCAATGAGGAACTTCTTGGGGCCGAGCATGCGGAAAGGAGACGAGTAAGAGTCGAGCAGTCCCTGCTTCCTAGCGCGGCGGCCGACAATGGACAGGCTGATGATGAGGGGGAGGGCACAGACAGGGTAAATGATACACCACATGCCGATACCCCACTGCCAGGTGCTTTCGCCGAGAACCAGGGCGGAGATATTACCGCTGACCCAGGTGTTGATGATGAAAGGAAGCGCAGGAATGTAACTGAACAGCAGACGGGCGCGGGTGGAGGTAATATCGGCGATGATGACCTCGACAAGCAGCATGATCATGGTGTAGCCAACCTGGTAGATAACGGCGCCGGCGGCGAAGGCCTTAACCTCAGTAGCACATGCCTCGACAATGGTACCGACGACGTAGAAGATGACGGAGACGCAGATGAGTTCGACACGACCAAAGACATCGGCAATCTTGGCGGATGTGGGCTGAGCAGCAGCGGCGATGACGGAGCGAAGGACGTTAACGGTAGCCAGAAGGGAGTGCGTAGCGTAGCTGCTCGTGGCGGTGGGTTGGTAGGCGTAGCGAAGGGTTCCATCGAGACCATAGGCATAGGCGACCAAAAAGACGCCGAAGAAGATGAAGTAGCGGTCGGTAGTGGTGATGGCGGCAGAGAGGGCCTCGATTCTCGCAACACCAGGCGACTTCTCGCCGTAGATGTTGTTGGACTCATACGTGGGAGGAGGAGGGCTGTTTTGGGATAGAGGAGCATTCTTCTCTGCGGAGGTGAGATCGGCTGTGGGCGAGACGATATCCGAAGGAGACTCAGTCTCCTTCTTACGACCAAAGAGACCCATCTTGAGTGACTACGATACCCAGATGAGATGGATGATGAGAGGGCCTGGGATGAAAGTTAGTACGAGAACAGAGAGTTTTCGCGAAAGAGTTGTAGTTGAGATGAAGTTGAACTTCGCAAGATCCCCGGATGAAGTCGGCGAAACTCCACTTCCGCGCCGGCAACCTTGAGGGACCTGACGGAAGCTGACGTTGAAGGACGGCGGCACTTACTCGGGAAGGAGTCGGGGCTCCGGTGACGTCTTGCGGTCTGTGGCAGGAGCTGCGACACACCGAAGGTCAATGCGCCGAAGTGAGCGTTTACCGAGAAGGTGAGAGATTCGGGGCCTAGGTGAAGGTCGCGTCTCTGGTTTTCGAGTCTGCTCAATTGCACAGAGCGCACTGCGCAACTATTTGTTTACAAGCAAGAAGAGCAACGAGACAAGGTCAAACTGATGACCTGACCGGGGATGTAATGGATTAAAGAGGGAGAAAATTCAGAGAGAGGATCCGCCTGCAGGGACGACAGGGAAGACGAGGTGGTGAGGTTACATCCAGGACCCTTTTTAACTTTCCAGACATGGCGAAGAGAGCTTTATCAGTGTCTCTCAGGCTCGCAGACAGCCTGCACGCTGCCCAATCAAGGCCGCTCCATCCATCTTTGCCCATCGGAGCCATTTCGGTGGGCAGCCAGAGACTGGCACGACTGGGAACCTACGGGGAGGGGGCGAACCACTGAGCCAGTCGATCCAGCCTGACGCAGCTTGCGCTAGCCGTGATGATTTTTTCGCATCTTGTTAGTTATTGGACTAGCGCCGCTTCGATCCCTGGCCCCGGGTCTTCAAGCCTCGGAGTTGAAGTCCTTGAATGTGTCCAGCACTCCAGGTTGGTGGCGTGAAACTTGGTGGTGTCGGGATCAAGGACTCAAGCCATCAGAGAATTTTTTATCAGATCCATCTTATCTGATTTAGCGTGCGCCTTTCGCACCACAAACCGCTGCGATCGATACCGCAAACGGTAACGTCCTCCAAGCCGTCGTGGCGCATTCCATGATCCGCCCACCCATTCCTCGGCACGAAAGTTGCCAAGACAGAGAGTTTGAGTTGGTCTTTCTCTTTTGTCTCATTCTCACTCATCATCTCTTCTTCACTTGTGAAAAAGTACCGCCGCCAGAGAGAGGGCGTCAGCAGAACATCTGCTTGACTCGATCAGGCTACCCGCAGCCACCACCAACGACCTCGGCGCACTTCTGTCCCAGGAAATCTTCTAACTACAGACTCCCAGCCCATCTGACGACTACAGCGTTGCTACCTCGTTGTGCGCACTATTTTGACGAGCAATTATTGCAACAAGCGTTAGGATCCTATTCCCAGTCTGCTACCTTGTAAAGGACCACAAATTCAACCCAGTTCACCTCAAAAGTCGCCCACAAAGACAACCCACGAATCCACGACCCTGTGTCTCTAATTCTGGCCCCCACTCTATGACCAATCTCCGCATGCTCCCGGCTGGCTCAGGAACGGGGTGGCCAAGTGATCAGAACATCGGTCGACCCGGTCGCTTTTGACAAATGGATTGCTTTGCACCCGCGCGAGCCACGAGGCCGCCTTTTGCGCCTGTCAGCACCACCGAAAAAGGGTTCCCGCCAAAGAAAAGACGGCAGCGACCTCGGCGACTAGAGGTGGTTGGATCCTCCATGTGGGCAAAATCGGCTCATGCTCACGTTCAGAGTCTAGGTCTCTTGACCTCTTCAGAGAATACACCCACCGTACGACCCTCTGTCATCGCTTCACTTGATTTTCTGTTGCGGAACGCTGTCCACAAACCATTGATAATCCTGTTAGTCCGGAACTTCTTTGCAACTAGGCTAGGGGGCCAGGACTCAGGATACCTACTCCAAGCTTCCCCCACAAGACGGCTGCGAACATGTCGGCCGGTGGGCAGAGCTGAGATATGATCGCGCATGCCACCAACACTACAAAAACGCCACAAATGATGCGTCTGACTGCCGTCTTTCCACTAGGCTACCGGTACTAGTCAGCGGCACTAACAGAAGTGCCGTCTGCATCAGTGCATCATGGTCTCTGCAAAATACCTCGTTGTCAAGTACCTTTTAGGCTTTTTCCTGGAATTCTACCTACGGCACTAACTAAGGATCTAATCTCTTCTCAAGGCAGGAGGGTCAAGAGACACATGGAAAAGACTATGCAAAACAAGAGGGTCGGCGGGATTTTGCAGTAGCATCGGAGCTGGGGTTCCAGGCGGCGCCCGAGCTCCCCGGCCACCGATCTGTGGGTATTGACCAGAACGTCGGGTGCGCCAGGAATCTGGCTATTGATCAAGGATTTTCACTCGTGAAAAACTAGTTGCTCACCGCTGGGTCTGGGGACACGGGAATTTATGTTTCCACCGGTCTGGAACCTAAGAGGGAGTTCTCCAAAGATCGGGGCTTTAGGAAGTAGTCGTTTACCGCGACAAGCTTCTGGTCTAGATCCAACTCCCACCTCAGTCACCTCCTTTCAGCCCAACTCTCACGAGAATTTGTCGCCGAAGGAAGTGCTAGCAGCGAGGAAGAAGATCAAGTGATTCATGCTTACTACGTGTACTGTGTGTACAGTCGAACGCCCTGCCACATCGCCGAAAATTGTGTGCCGCGCTTCACGCGATCCAAAACCAAATCCGTTCCAACCAGTTGCGAGGCTTCACCACCGGCCACGTCGGCTCAAGCCGATCAATCTCCGCCTTGCCCGACCAGATATCCATCTCGGAAACTTTTACGAACTTGGTCTTCTTAACAAACTTGTAGCCTAGAAAAAGTGACAGGAAGATTGGAATGTCGATGTACGGCGGCAAAAACGTCTTGGCACTGAACCGCCCTGGGAAAAACGCATCAAACCCATTGAAGAACGCAACGACGAGACAAAAAACAACAGCAAAGTACGCAAGAAACGGCTGCATCGGGGCCTTGTACGGCAACGTATCGCGATCGATACCATTATGTCGCAGGCACTGGTAGAACCGTAAGTAGGTATAGCACACGCTAGCCCACACAATCAGGGTGCTCACGGCGCTGAGGTTGCTGATCCAGAAAAACACCTCAGCGGCGCGATTGTTCACGTTGAGGTAAACTAAGCACCCCAGCGCCGATGTAGCAGCGACGCAGGCGTACGGTACGCCGAAGCGCTCCCATTTAAGGATCGCGGGCGCCTTGCCGTCGAGTGCAGCAGCGTAGAGGACCCGCGTGGAGGCGTAGAAGAAGCTGTTGCCGGCGCTCCATGCGCTGCTGAGGATCACGCCGTTGATGATGGAGGGCAGCGTTCCGATGCCGGCGTTGCTGATAGCGATGACAAAGGGGCTCTGCGCGGCGCCGGGACTGCTGCTGCTGATCGCGTTGAGCAGATTAGGGTCCTCTGAAGAGACGCACAGCCCGACGAGGAAGATGGCGAGGACATAGAATATTGCGATGCGCCAGAAAACGCGGCGAATTGCCTTTGGAATATTGCGGCGCGGGTTCTCAGTCTCGCCGGACGCGACGACGACCATCTCGCTGCCGCCATAAGAGAATGTAGCCTGAATGAAGACTTTCCAGAAGGCAAGGAAACGGCCAAGGGCGCCGGGCCGGAGATACTCGTTCATCGGGCCGGGGTCGTGCCAGTAGCGGAAGCCGATGGCGTCTCCACTGGGTCCGCCACCCACGGTGATGATGAACATTAGGATGATGAGGCCGACGATTGTGATGAGTTTGATGGCGCCGAAGAAAAACTCTGCTTCACCGTATATGCGGACCGGGAGGCAGTTTACGAGGACCATTGCTGCAAAGAAGATGGTGATGAGGGCGGCTTGCGGTATGGCGTGGTCCCAATAGTCAAGGATGACCACCGAGACGGTAACTTCGATCGGAACGCCGATGGCGAATTGGTACCTGTCTTACGATGAGCGCCCGCTCATTCCAATAGTCTTGGAGCTGGAACTTGGATTCCCGGTGTCTCAACAAGCATAGTTATCTGTTCATCTCCGCGCCCCGCGAAGTCTTCAGGAATGAGTCGCTTACCAGTAGTTCCATCCCAAAGTGAACCCCAACGCGGGATCAACGAACCGCGCAGCAAATATTGGCACAGCACCCGGAATAGGTAGCCATGCAGCCATCTCACCGAGGCAGTTGATCACGCAGTACAGGTTGAACCCGGTCACCGCATAGCAGATGAAGGCGGACAACGGCCCGGCCAGCGACAGAACTTGGCCGCTGCCGACGAAAAGCCCCGTTCCGATGGCTCCCGACAGAGCCAGGAATTGAACATGCCGCGACTTCAGTTTCCGGTCAAGTGTTCCGATGTGCTGTAGCTCTTGTTGTTGTTTGAGGTCCGCTACTGTTGCGCTTCTTGTTGTCGTTGCTAGCTCGATGTCGCTGTGCGCGGGGTCTCCTGCTCTCTCTGGCCTCCCTTCTAGCTTCTCTCTAGTAGTCTCCATCGGTTCTGTGCGTCTCTGGCAATGGGAAACGTATCCTAAAGCTTGCAGAGGCGTAAATGATTGTGCTTCTCAACTTGAAGCGGCATCCGACAACATAAGATCTGTTTCTTTAAAAGACAAACAGGATACACTCAAGCGGGCGCATTAAACAGCAAGGAACAATTTAAGTAGTAGCAACAAGCGTAACACGATTTCCGTTTATCGCTTACCCCGTTTCTCCAATCGTCTCTCTCCTACCTCTATGGATCACGCGTTTGGCTTGCAGATCTCTGCATTCTGATCCTGCACAAGCGGCACATGCGCAATTGAAAGTGCGGGGTTGATAGGAAACCACCTCTCGATGGGCAAACAACGCCAGAAGAAGACAGGATGAGAGTGACGGTCATACTGAAAGAGCACAACGGTACAAACATCCAGCTGTCGTGTAGTCATCAGAGCATCTACAGTCGTGGAGATAATTAGCTTATAGGATCCCATCAAATTTCATCATAATGTAAAGATCCCACGAGACCTGGGTCCAACAAGGCCAGGCACTTTCGACATGATACTCCTTTGTACTTTAGCTATATATGGGTCCATGATCCGAACTATTTTATCACTTGCGCACATCTATGCATATAAATATATATATATCGAGGGCGACCCCGAGTGGAAGTACTATCCCTCGGCCATTGTGATGCCGGCGTCCGTCCTCGACCAGACGTTCAAGGTCGTCAAGGAGAACTTCTATCACCTCTTCAAGGTGCATGTGTTCTACCAGACGCCCAAGACCGCGCCCAAGCACAGGGTGAAAGAAACCTTGGAAAAGACTAAGGGCCTTGTCAAGCTCTTCGACCGCTTCAAGGCTGAGCGCCACAAGCCCGAGACCGCGTGGAACATTATACTCATGTCTTACACCACGAACAATCGCCGACTCAACGTACAATATAGTCAATTACCAGTACACGATATTCCGATTTAATCTTTCTAGCTTCTGATCATGTCCTGAATCATGCGCTGCCTTTCTTATACACTCAGTCACATTGCATAGAACCGTGCTCATAGTAAGTAAGGTCACAAGCTTAGACGCCGGGCGAGGTTCTGGTGCATCGAACCGTCAAGGGTTCCAAAATGTACCACTGACCACAACGAGATCAATCCCACCCTGCTTTGGGTCCCTTGGATTCTCGAGTATAACAACATCGAGGAGAGCAGAATTATCACTACATCTTCAGTGAAGGCCCGGAGAGCTTCTTTACTCCAGCAGACAGGTTCTCTCACGACTCGCCTGGATGTTTTACCTAGACTTTCACCTACCTAATCTGTTCACTCGGCAAGGTGACTCCACTTGCATTCTCAAGGTCGTAGACGCTCTCAATGAAGCTCGTCTGGAGACGACTTGTATGGAAGCCACTTCACTGGAACTTCGTAAGTACCGGTGATATTGAGAACCAAGAATGGACGTTCTCACTGAGACCATCTCGAATACACCTCCCGGGCCCAGCTAGGAATTATTGGAGCTGATAGTCCCCCTGACATCGAGTCGGTGAGATAATGTGAATTTCCTTAACAAACTTCCATCTGACCTCTTATCAGGAGAATTGTTCCAACTTTGGCTTGCAGTGCCAGGTCATTGGACGTCTCTGGCGTTTGGGCCAGAAGGGGGAGGTGTCCTGGAAAATCCTCCAAACCCAGTCTACTTTTGACCCCTGGCTTAAGACCAAGAACATGAGGGCGTACGTGAGCACCGTCGAGGCGGAGGCTGCTATCGATACTCGCATCACTACATCTAGTAGGTGAGATAATATGAATTTCCTTGACGAATTTCCATCTGACCTCTTACCAGGGCCCTACCATTACCAGAAATTCTCTGTCGTCAACACCAGCGAAAACGCTGTACTGAGACAAGATGGGCCATAGGCTTTTCAACGCCAACGCCAGCGCCGGTGCCGTGAGATGAGCCTCCATTTCCTTTCTTCCTTTGAGTTCCTTTTTATCAGCACCTCCATTCCCCTCACGTCTCATCACATCAGCTCGGGGAAGTAGGCCACACCACCCTAAAAACATCCGAGGCTAACAACAGATGAATAGAACGAAGAGAACGACAAGGCTTTCGGCGACAGGGAGCCTTCAGGTGACTCTTGCGCCCAAGGCGACTGCGAACTTTGCGAGCTGACTGACGACTCTATCACTACGATCGACTCTGATCTCTATATGACTTTGCACTCCGTCAACCAAAGCATTGGTCGTCGTGAAAAGGTGCGAATGGCCAAGGAAGCTATTGCAGAGAACCAGAGTCGTGTGCATTTTCTCAAGTACGAGACGGAATACCTCGAGAGAAACTAGTCGGAAATCGAGTGCAGAGAGTCCGACTGCAAGGCTATTCAAGAGTTTATCGAACACATGGAAAATCACTGAGGCATGTCACTGAGCTCCTACCTGGCTATCGACTAGGCAATCTTGCATGAGCAGCGTGACCGCGCTCTTCAACATTGGGTACCTTACAGATGGATAGAAGGAATTACTCGAATTGGTCATCATGAATGGCCAGTGATATGGCTTGGAAATAGGGAGAAGCGATATGCTGCATCACGCAGTTAGGGCCACCGGAAGATACCACAGAGGCCTAGTCACCTAGTGACCATAGCTAATTCAACACAGCACCAATGAATGTGATTTGTTCAACGACCAATAATTATGTCCTCCGCAATCTTCTCTGCCAAAGCGTACACAGCAGACTGAGGGTGTCCCGGCAGAGCAAATGGAAAAGCGCTCGCATCAGCGACTCTCAGCCCCTGGACACCAAACACACGCCCGCGGCTGTCTACCACCGCCTTGCCCGATGTGACGTCTTCCTCTTTTCCCATGGCAGCAGTGGACACAGGATGCCACACTTGCCCCACGTTAGCCCTCACATACTCCAGTATCTGTTCGTCGGTCTGCACCGAATCTCCTGGGAGCAGCTCAGGGCCAGTCTTGAATCCGGGAGTATTGGCGAATGGTGAGGCCCAAGCCGTACGTAGCCGCTTGACGGCCGTGACAGCTATTTCTACATCGGCGGAGTCGGATAACCAATTCAAGTTGATGACCGGCTTCGCGTCAATGGAAACTGACGATATAGTGACGTTACCGCGGGAGAAAACGAGAGGGAGGTAAGCAGCGAGAGTCCCGCTAGTTTGTCCTGGCCCAGTTGAGAAGGATCCTACGATGAAGGAAAGCTGAGGCCAGTCAGAAGGAACCGAAGCAAGCTTGTCGCGAGTTGTTTGCGTGAGATTGGCGAGAGTAGAGTTGGGAAGCCGCTCGTGCGCCAAAAAGCCTGCAGCGGAACTGTAGGGACCGGTGCCAAATTTGAGATACTCTTCGACGAAGCCTGGGTTGAGGGCTGGATCATTAGTGAGAGATTGTGCAGAAGGCGTGCTAACGGGGTACGCGACGAAGATCTGGATTGGGTCTTGCAGGTTCTGTCCCACGCCGGGGATGTCGGCGATGACCGGGATTGAGAGAGCTTCCAGTCTTTCGCGAGGACCAATCCCAGAGACTTGGAGAAGTTGCGGAGAGTGAAACGTGCCAGCGGTGAGGATGACTTCTTCATTAGCAGACAGGGTGTACTCGACCCCTTGGGAGTTGACGCTCACACCCACAGCCTTGGTGCCATCGAACAGGATCTTAGTTGCCAGAGTGTGAGTGTACACAGTGATTTCAGTGTCCTTGATAGCCTGTCGTAGAAAGCTGCTCTCGCTCGTAGATCGCTGCGTCTTTTCCGGCTCGATCGTCGAAGGCACCCACGCGCCGTATCCCGCGAGCGTGCCACTGCTGGATCCCTTGGGGCTGATACTCAGTCCGAGGCTCAGAACCACTTGAGCAAGCCACGTAAGCGTCGGGTCGACCCAGTTATTCCAAGAAACCTGCAACGGGCCTCCCTGCTTATCGTAGTCGCTAGGATCGAACCTCACAGTCGCATTCGTGTTCTGCCTCTTCTCCTCGTTCGGCGGCGTGAGGTCGACAGAGCGCTTGAAAAACCTGAGCATGTTCTCCCAGCGAAACGTCTCATCGCCAACTGTCTCGGCCCAGAGGTCATGGGATCCCTTTGTTCCGCGGATATACGACATGGTGTTGATCGCAGAAGACCCTCCAAGCGTTTTTCCCTGCGCATAGTGCACCCGTCGGCCTCCGGCGCCTGCGATCGGTTCCGAAACCAGGGACCAGTCCATCAGGGGCTGCGGTGTGAACTCTGGCGATGGATCGATGAAGGCAATGCCGGTCAGCGAGAGGAGGGGCACGACGCTGTTGTTGCCATTTTCGACCTCGTAGAAACCGCCGGCCTCGACCACAGCGACGGAGGCCGATGTTGCGGCGAGGCGCGACGCGATAGTTAGGCCGGCGGTGCCGCCGCCGATGACGATGTAATCGTAGCTTGTATTGCGGCCGGGGTACCCAAAGGCCGAGGAAAAGAGGCGGTCTTGCGCCGCCGCGAGGCTCACAAGCGACAAGATGAAAGTCCGCAGCATTATGTTGTGAAGGGTGGGTTTGTCGCTTGATACTTCAATCGATGAGCGCGTTTTGCTCGAAGAATCTTGAAGGAGTGAGCCGAGCTGAACTCCCTGGGGAAGTCCATGATGAAGGTCAATGACTTGAGTCTATACTTATGTATACCCTCCGAATCGCATCATCGTACGTGGGAATCCATCATGGATTGAGTCGTCGGAACGCGGGTCATATGCGCCACTACTGTGGAATCAGGCTAGCATGCTTAAAGACCCCTGAAGATGGGCTATACGGGCGTCGTGAGGTTGGTTCAGAAGTGCTGTAAGGTCGGCTCGGATTCTGTTGTTGGATTTAGCCAGCTGTCAGATTCGATAGTCTTTGGTCCCCTAGCAAGACGTCAGCACAGCGTAGGATTTCCTCTCGGGCATGGTGACAGATTGGGGGATGAATACTGGAGGGATTTAAGGGGAAAACGGGCCGTCGCTTAGTGGATGGGATACGTTACATTGTGCGCTGACAGATCCCACACCATGCTGTTTCTTGACGACTGCTCACTATGGTGCCGGTATGTCAAGCTACAGAATATGGTCTGACAAGCCAAGGCCACGAGTTGATGGTTGTGTATCTATGGTAAGTTGAGGGAAGCCATTTCCGTCGTTGAGAAACTAAAGGGATTCTCGAATCCGCAGGAAGGCAGTAAGGGGTTGGATTGAAAGACAGAAACAAGAACATAAAATAGGAAGATTATTCTCACAAAGCAAGAACCAAAAGCTGATTGCTGCCGACCACAATGGACGTGACTGACCTTGTACAACCTTACCTTTTCAGCCAATCGTTCATTGAGCTACTTTTGTAGGTTGGCCATTCCTTGGCCTAAGGCTTTTTTGCCCAGTGGGAGGCACAGCAACTACTTACTAAGTAAAGTACTTTAGATAAGCTGCATCTCACCTGCACCTCGTAATCTCACCATGCCAGGCTTCCTTATCATGTTCAGTCAAACTGTATTCAACCATATCGATATCATCACTTTCAGAACGCGAACCTCTTCCGTGGCGGACGGAAGCGAACCTAAGACCTCCTCAAAGTCAAATCGGCCGTGATAAGGCTGTAGCTGGGTCCATGGAGCCACTCGTCAGTGGTATTATTCCGGAACTCCGAGGTACCCGGAATGACCGGCCGGAGCGAGACGGGGAGCACGATGGCCTGGCGGCGCGAGGAAATTCGAACCGTCGAGATCATGACCATATTCCGATGGCACCGAGAGAGCATATGCAGCCGGAGAGGATGAGCACCCCTGTATACTTGGTGCTTTTCTCACTAACAGTAATATGCCTCGCCATGGCAAAAGTCGCCTTGGATGCTTTTCTTCCCCCAATCAACTGGTGGATCCCATTCCCATCTCTAGGGTCTGTCTTGGGCGGTAGAGGATCCAAGTCGTCTGTAGCCCAGTCGTCGTCATCTTCAGAGTCCTGGTTCAGAGGAGCCACCGAGACCGCTGCCATTATCTTCAAAACCATCATAGTGATCCTTGGTGGCAAGTACATAATCACCAACGGATCTCAATGTCTCGTCGACTTTTTCCCGGCAGAATCTGGTCCGCGATCTCTCTTGGAAAACGGCACTCTCCGACAAACCCTTACGCTTATGAGCTATTTCATCCTCCCCACCGCAACGTCGGCTACGGTCTCCTCAGTTGTCCCAAACGGCTTCTGCAATCCAAAGGCCAACATTCTACGCTGGTGGCCGCCTCGAACACGAGGTGACATCAGAGCAATATTGGAGGGATGGAGCGGCCTCGCAGGCCTTCACTTGAAAACGGGCGGCAGCATGACGCAGATGTCCAAGTGGAGATGGAGTTTTGGGAGAGCTTTCATGTGGTTGTTAGGGGTTGGCACATGGACGACGGTTGAGATTTACTTCGGTCCATGCCGATATTATCTTCTGGCTTGGCGATTCTGGTTTTCGATAGTGTCGGTTTCTTTAGTTTCGTGGTTTCTTGGCAACGCTGAGAAGTTGATTGTGACGAAGTGGTCTTCCGTGGGACTACTGCATGTGGAGTTAGCAGTGTATCTGGCAGTCTTCCACTTGATCGGGCACGCAGACTTGGATGGTTTCTGCTCAAAAGCGGATTGTTGGTAGAGTAAGAGGTCTCGAAGAGATATCATGACGCTTACAATGCGATCGAGATGATGAAATGAACGCGATAGACAGGAAACTAAAGAGTGCGTGCAAATGACCTGTTTTAGGGAGCTAGATATGACTAAATATTCAGAGTCCAACCTCCCCAGTATAGGAGCTCATTTATAGTAGCCTTGTTTTGATTTTTTATCCTATCTAACAAATCAACAATACAAAAAAAACCTCCAAGCACTACACCTTGGAATATAAATGCGCTAACGAGCTGCCAGAACTCGGTAGAGATGCGACGTAAGAGGGCAGGGTATGATCTTAGAGTGCTGACATGACATGTCAGCCAGCCAAGTACCCAGACGAATCACAGTCGGCTCCAATTCGCAGACTTCATCATCGGTCAGCTGGTTTGCGAATAGCCTCATTCATCTCGAAGACCAGTCTGTGGCGATTTGCCATGGATTGTCATTATCGCCGTTGTCGTACGATAGTTTTTGTGATGATTAAGCAACAGCACGTCATATTTACTGCACCTTACTCGCGTGTAACTGTCCAAAGCATTGTAGTCGAGAAAAGGCGGGGTGAGGCGTGGAACGCGCGGGGTTGGCTCTCTTTATCGGCGTTAATATCCTTACAAATCACAGCTCACATACCTCGGCACAACTTTCTGCCCACAACTACGTCAATGCAGCTTTAATTGAAAGACTATTTCTTGAAGTCCGGTCTCCTAGTTATCAGACACTAATTACTGGCTTTTGGACCATCCTCAAGCTCACAATCCAAGACCACTCACCAGACTTCATCTAAGAAGCTCCTCCAACCCACATCATTCACCATGACCCAAAACAAGACCCTCATTTTTAAGAAGATCCCCACCGGTCTCCCGGTAGCAGGGGAGCACCTCACCATCGAGGACCGCCCTCTTGACCTTAACGATGCTCCCGAGGGCGGCCTGGTCATCGAGGTTCTCTATGCCTCCTTCGACCCCTACCAGCGTGGCCGCATGCGCGACGCCGGCAAAAAATCATACTCCCCCGCCTTCGAGCTCGACGGGCCCGTCACCAACAGCACAATCGGCAAGGTTCTCAAGAGCAACAGCTCCGACTTTGCGGAGGGCGACCTCGTCTACTCCCACACTCCCATCGCTCAGTACGCCCGCGTCACACCTCAGATCCTGCAGCAAGGCCGCAAGGTGCAGAACCCCCACAACCTGGACCTTGGGCTCTTCCTTGGACCTCTCGGAATGCCGGGTCTGACCGCCTGGTCCGGCCTGCACAAGATTGGACAGCCGAAGAAGGGCGAGACCATCTTTGTTAGCTCGGCTGCGGGTGCTGTCGGCCAGCTCGTCGGTCAGATTGCCAAGCGGGAGGGACTTACCGTGATCGGTTCCGTCGGTTCAGATGAGAAGCTTGACTTCATCACCAAGGAGCTTGGCTTCGATGCCGGATTCAACTACAAGAAGGAGAAGCCCGCCGAGGCTCTTCCCAAGTTGGCTCCCAACGGAATAGACATTTACTTTGAGAACGTCGGTGGAGATCACCTCGAGGCTGCCCTCACCAGCATGAACACCGAGGGCCGCATCGCTGTCTGTGGCATGGTAAGTAGTGGAATTGAGACTTTGATACCTACATGGACTTGAATAGTACGCTAATGCGTGGACAGATCTCAAACTACAACACCCCTGCCGATCAACAAAAGGGCATCAACGGCTTGATGCAGCTCGTTACCAAGCAGATCACCCTCCAAGGTTTCCTCGTGGGTAACCCCAAATTTGGCCCCGCCCACTTCAAGGATCACCAGGAGAACTTGCAGAAGTGGCTGTCTGAGGGCATCGACAACGCTGCTGATGGTTTGATCGGCATGCTTACCGGAAAGAACTTCGGAAAGGCTATTCTTAAGCTTTAATGAACCATATCGTAACGTTTAAGTGAGAATGAGAAGTTATGACTGATAATATCTCTCGTGCAAAATTTGGTTCCATTGCTAGCTGAGTCGTTTCAAATAATGGCGGCTACGCAACTCAGGTTATGTCGCAGAAGGAGTTCTTACTCCACCCGCTCTTCTTTGCTTCACGAGTGCAAGTCTAGGCCGGCTCACTGCAAACTGTGGGATAAAAAGTCCCGTCCATCACGAGCGGAGATTCGATATCAGTCTGTTTTCGAAAGCTGAGATTGAGTACTGTTTTTGGCTCATACTTGACGTGAGACACGAAGTTGCTGGAGAGTCGAAATGAGTTCGGCTCCCCAAGACCGGGTTGTCTAGATACGACATTCATTGCCGGTCGAACAAGGTTTTTCCGTTTCTCGCAGATCACGCCGTGTATGTTTACCCTCGGAAACAAAACCGCCCAAGTGCTTTGGCTCAAGGCTCGCCAAATTCGAGGTTCCGCAGCTGCTGACATGGAAGTGGAGAGACTCAAGAACCCCGTGGGTATCAAATAGTCCAACATCAACCGACTAGCGATTTAAGCTTAAAACTTGGCCAACGTCATTTCCGCAAGCGAACCCTTGCCCGCCGAGAAACACCAAGCGACGACCAAGACAACACCAAGACTAAAAAAGGGTCTTACTCTTCCCATAACCTTTCAGCTTGCTGCAATTATTTTTTGTCCAGGTCAAAGGAAGAAAAGTTTTGGGCCGCCCAGCCTCGGCTTACTCTATTAGGCAACCCGTGCGGGAGGATGTTGGCTCTTCGGGCTCGGCGATGATTTTCGCGATCCACTGCCGGAAGTCAGCTGGCTATCGACTGATATCATGAAGACATGTTCTCTAGTATTCGAGTCATTTCACCTATTGTATTTCAGAGATTGACCAGAGCTCGTCGTTGTCGAAGAGCTTAACTATCTTCACAGGCCTGTCTAGATCTGCATCTGCCTCTCCGAAGGATGGCGAAAAAGGAGAAAAGGAAACGTCAAAATTCGCAATCATTGAAACGAAAGTAGCATTATGAAAGAGATTTGGCCAGTCAACCGACGACATGGCATCGGGCCGTTTCCTGCAGTTGGCTAGAGAAATCAACCAATGGCGCTTAACCACCAACACCCAAAACATTCACCCGGGGAAAGATGTGGGTAGCGCTGTTCCAAGACGCAAAGTCTCCATATCGATGTCTCTTGTTCGTCTGTCAGCTTTCCCAACTCTCAATATGACCTCAGCCAAGTCATCCTTTACCAAGTACCGTCTCATCGGTGGCCAACGATGTTGGTCAAGACGCTAAGCCGTGAGTCAGAAGTGAGCAAGTACAAAGCTGGACGTACATCCTGCAGCCACGCTTTCCCCAAGACCTTCAAGGTTCGATTGATCGTCCACCACTACATGCAATTTCCAACTTGTCGACTTGGGTCGGTATAGGAATAAACATGGCCGAGCACAGCACGGCTGTTGAGCCCAATATGACCGAGAAACAGGAAAAGCGCGAACAACCTAGCGACAGCGGCAGCCGAACGCCGTCATCGGTCGACAGCAACCGCGTCGTCGACCAGAAATCAAAGTCGCCTGGAGGCTTGATGGGATTCTTCGCCAAGATGGGCGATCTGCCAGAGTGGGGGTTCCGCGGGAAACGTCTCGAGGGCAAGCTGCTCAACTGGAGTATTGGATTCATCGCGTCTTGCGGTTTCTTGATGTTTGGTTATGATCAGTACGTGTCTTTCGCTCCAACCTTTAGGAAACCAGGTTCTAATACTAGTATCCAGAGGTGTCCTTAGCTCGCTTCTGACTCTCGATGACTTTCAGAGGAGCATTACCTTGATGACGCCCCTGGACCAGTCAAACGCCCTTTGCTGGCTCGACTACCCCGAAAATACCCAGCGGGACTACAGCCAGTGCACCGGTGACCCGAACACGCAAGCTGCAGCCGTGGCCGTCTATCAGATTGGGTGCTTCCTGGGGGCTTTCCTGATCCTCTTCTACGGAGAGACCTGGGGTCGCAAGTCGTCCACGTTTTGGGGTAGTGCAATCATGATCTTTGGCACAATTCTGCAGGCTGGAGCGCATGAATACGGACTGTTTTCGGCTGGAAGAATCATTGGAGGGGTTGGAAATGGAATGGTCACATCAAGTAAGACCACTCGCAGTCCTTTCTCTTGTCTACTAAGGTCATGACCTAACCAAAGTGCAGCTATCCCAACGTGGCAATCGGAATGCGCTCGACCTCATCAGCGCGGATTCCTCATCACGCTCTCTGGCGCTCTCATTTCTGGTGGTATCATGATTGCATACTGGGTGGTAAGTTCTCTTGCCCCACAACTGTCTCATTTACGCGGACTAATGTTGCAATAGGATTACGGATTCTACTTCCTCGAAGGCACCGTCCGCTGGCGGTTCCCCGTAGCTTTCCAGTCATTCTTCACGATCATCGTCATGATTGGACTCCTCTACCTTCCAGACTCGCCCCGTTGGCTAGCCATGAAGGGCCGTATGGAAGAAGCTCGTGAAGTGACGTCTCGCCTTCTTGGTAAACCTATTGATGACGAGGAAGTCACCCTCGAAGTCAAAGCCATTCAGGACGCCCTCGAGGTTCAGAGCCAAGGTGGGGGCTTCAAGTACAAAGAGCTCCTAACAAACGGCCCTTCGCAAAACTTGAGGAGGACTCTGCTCGGCATTGCCGCACAATTCTTCCAGCAGATCTGCGGTAGATTCAGTCGAGACAACTGCCCGTTATTAGACTTTTTGACTAACACGTTCTCACAGGTATCAATCTGATTACTTACTATGCTGGCTTTTTGTTCGAGAATTCTCTTGGGTTCGGTCCCGAACTTTCTCGACTTCTCGCCGCTCTCAATGGCACCGAGTATTTCCTAGCTTCACTGGTTGCTTTACCACTAATTGAGAGAACTGGTCGACGCAAGCTGATGCTTTTCGGCGCATTCGGCATGATGGCATCAATGGCGATCCTGGCTGGCACTGTCTCAACGGGCACAGTTGCAGACAATGGAGCCCCCAATCTTGAGACTCGCTATGGTGTCACCGCAACAGTCTTCCTCTTTGTCTTCAACTCATTCTTCGCTATCGGTAAGCCCCTCTCACCATTACCAAGACCTCTTTATGATATCACACTAATGTTCAAGCAGGCTGGCTTGGAATGACTTGGCTCTATCCTGCCGAGATCACCAACCTTCGAATCCGCATCCAAGCCAACGCCCTTTCCACCTGCTCCAATTGGCTTTCCAATTTCCTGATTGTCATGATCACACCCCCTGCTTTTGCAAACTTGGGCTATCGGACATATGTGATGTTTGCGGTCTTCAACGCCGCCATCATCCCCTGCGTGTACTTCTTCTTCCCTGAACCCAAGGGACGAAGCTTGGAGGAGCTTGATGTTATCTTCGCCAGCGCGCACGCCGACAAAGTCAACCCTGTCAAACGCGCCAGAGAGATGCGTCACGTTGAGGGGAGGGAGCTTGAGAACGAGCTGGAAAAGTATTTTGGCTCAAGTGAGATGGTAGAGGATGCTCGTCCTATGATGCACTAAGATTAGCGAGAGTCATTGTATATAGGCTCTCGAGAGTACTATGTTTCACTTCCATTATTCACACCTGAGATACCGACTTTGCTAATACTGTTCAATTAACTATTCCCATATGACGTAGGGAAGAATTTGACATGCTCAATGACAAATGAAACGACTTCGCCTTGAGTTTCCAGTCTTACTTGGGAGATCCGCAGCTTAGGTAAAACCTTGCTTCCATGAAGCGCATGGGGGTGCTGTTCTTTTGCCCGTTCCTAAGTATCAATGTAGTCCATCAATAGTCGATGTTCCAGACTTCGACGCCTTCGAAGCCTTGGCGAGACAATAGCCTTGTCTCTGAAACAACTCGCAACAAGGCTATCGTCTTTAAGAACAGTGAACAGCCCTCGGGTTTACTGGCCTGTTTTCTTTGCCAATTCATTTGCACCTTGACAAAGGTTATTGTTTTGTTTCCATTGAATCCGATGTAAGCATTGCCTTAGCGTTTCTTTCGTAGAGAACGAAGGATTATCGGTCACCAACAAAGACTGGATGCGAAGGTGTGTGTCATTGTTTCCAATGTCTAGCAACGCAATAGACTTGTTCAGTCTCTGCCATATCGTGCTACTTGTATCATATAACTAGGGTCAACGTCGTTGATCTAAGACATTCGGATTTTGGAGTTGTCAATACATCCCCCAGCATCCTCATCTCACTTGTTCGATATCAATAGTACGACTCAAAATGTCTTACACTGACGACTACACGGACAGTTCTGACACAGAAGGTTCTGTATCATCAGTTCACTCGATACAGCATGCTTCTGGCGCCCAAGTCCGTCCTGCAACCCAAAACAACCCCAGTTCACTTCTGACTACGATACTAGGATTCCCTCGAAATAATCCAAAACAGTTCATCTTGTTCATTCTTACCATATTGCTATCTTGGAAGCTGGAGATTTACAGCAAATTAGCAACGCCGTTTTATGACTACACTGCAGGGGACTGGGCCACGATTTTCCAGTACACCTTCGTCCTTCGCTACACTCGCCTATTCTGCAACATCTGGGGAAGCTGGCGATACGAGCCATCCCCCGTTCAGGCCTGGCCAAAATGGACCAATAGAGACGTCACAGTGATTCTCCCCACGATTGATCCAGGTAACGTAAAGTTTGTAAAATGCATCATCTCCGTACTTGAGAACAGACCAGCAGCCATTCTCATCGTCACCGTCGGCGCCAAGATGCGCCGTCGCTGCGAGAAAGTCGCCAGGCGCTACAAGAAACAATACCCTTCCACGAGAATCGGTGTGAGTGCCATCCTCCACCCCTCGAAGCGACGTCAGGTGGCTCATGCCGTACCGCACGTCGATACCGAATTCACGATCCTCGCCGACGACCACGTTTACTGGCCCAGCACTGAGTTCATACCCTCGGTCCTTGCGCCCTTTGAGGACAATAACATGGGCGTGGTGGCGACATACAAGCGCGTGCTTCGCACGACACCTGGTAAGTGGTCCGTCATCTCTATTGTCAACCTCATCGGATGTTTCTACCTCCTTCGCCATAACTGGGAGCTACGCGCCTCCAATGCCATCGACGGAGGCGTCTTTGTCGTCTCTGGCCGCACCGCCGCCTACCGAACCAAGCTTCTCAAGTCAATGGGTTTCATGGACAGATTCTGCAGGGAGCGTTTTTTCTTTGGCCTTTTCGGCGGTAAAGGGCTTGGCCCCGACGACGATAACTTTCTCACCCGCGAAGCCTACCGACATGGCTGGAAAGTCAAGTTCCAGCAGACCGAAGATAGCGTGGTCGAGACGTCGCTGGGCGACGAGAATGCCGTCAAGTTCCGGGGCCAGCTAGTTCGCTGGGCTAGGACGACGTTCCGAAGCAACCCGTGCATGTTGAGGCGTGTCAGCGACGTTTACACCTGGAGAATGCCATATACCTACGTGGCGGTATACGCAGCGGCGCTCTTCAACTTTGCTTTGTTCTGGGACGCAACTCTCTTCGTGTCTCTGTATCTTTCATGGCATACCAGGGGTGTTTTCACGAGCGAGATGGGTCTGCTTGCGCTTTGGGTCCTGTGGACCAAGACTATCAAGCTCTGGCCACACATCCTTCGCCACCCTTCCGATATCCCCTTGATACCATGCCAGATTCTCTTTGCTTATGCTCACTCTCTAATCAAAGTTTGGGCGCTCTTTACGTTTTGGGATTGTGCCTGGCTGGGCAGAAACTTGGACGCCGTCGACGCGGAGTCCAAGGAGTTGAGAAAGGAACTGGATAAGCACTTTACCTTTGCATGAGGTAACTGGTAGAGTCTTCGCGCTGGGCAAGAATATTCACTGATTTTCTGGGGCGTTTTGGTTAAACTTACTTCTTCTATTGTTGGGTTCTCTGCTCAAGTAAGTAAGTCAGGTGAGGTTAGGGGAGTTTGGATTTCATTCTGGGATACCCAGTTGCAACATTTACGTATCATTCGATCGAATTAAGCTGATTTCATTGATTGACCAGTATGCCGATCTTCAGTGACGTGTTCAGTACTGTAATTCCTCTTGTAATCCACCCTGTTCAGCAGCGCAAGGATACTTACACACAACAAACCCAGGCTTCGCAAATACCCGACTAGGCAGCAACACCGTCCATGCAAATTGAGTAATCGAATTCACGCATCTAGCGCTTATTTGCTTCCGTTGAATCTAGATCTCATTACTTGACATGTGTCTTGAACTAAGAGTTGCTTGGAAAGAGTTGTTACACGATGAAAGTACTTTTTTTGAAGCTGCAAGACAGAAACAACACTCTACGTTGCAAAAGGCCACGTCGGATCGAGTTAACCAAGCTGATAGATCCTCTCCTTATCTGTGGACGGAGTCCACTATTGTATTGATACTGTGTTCTCCAACCTGTGACTCACAAAGAATCCAAAGAATCCATCTTCGTCGATGACAAGGTACCTCTAGCGCTGAACACATACGCCCGTGGCTAGTAAAAACCCCATACTTGCGCAGGTCGAAGTCATCACTAAACTCCCTTCGAACCAGCAGGCACAGCATTCAAGTCTGCCTCACTTCTTGACGCAGCCACAATCTGTGTCCTGGGCAAAGCGCGACTACTTCCTAGTGACCTCTCCTCCAATTGGCCTGTTTTGGCAGGACGGCATACTAAAGCACGTTAGTTTGCCTAGGAAGGATTTGGACCCATGTAGATCGGCAGTCCAGGCATCCCATCTTCCCCAATTTAGGATTCCGGGATGTTATTCAGCCCTGTGGCTTAACGCTTTTTTGGACGCTGGACCTATAAGATCTTCTTGTACCACACCGGAATTCCTATTCCAGGCCGTTGGTTGTGTGTGGCTTTGCACTTGGCTTGATACGTGCATGTAACATATCTCTTGTCACTCCAAATGAGGACAGGTTTTAGGCACCACCTTAAGGACCTGATCTTAATATAAGTCTACTCGTATTACCAAGAATCTAATCCTCAAATTTTGGTCTAGGATCTTCATCCCGTAAAACGATCAAAGCAATCAACAACAACCAAACACATACATCACCAAAGCCAAGATGTCCTCAGCAGCCAGAATCGTCACCCTCCGGCGTCTCGAGATAATTGCCTTCCCACCAGCCTTGATCCTCCTCATCGCCCACGGGATAGCATCCGAGCGAGCCTTCCCGGCCTTGGGTCTCCTCCCACTCGCCGCCTCGGCCCTCCTTGGCCTCTTTGTCCTCAACCGCGATGCCGTCGCAGCTCTCGGCTCACCGATCCAAGCCCTCTCCGAATCCAATATCTTCTGGGCCGACTGCCTCCTCGCGGTCTTCCACCTCTCGTTCCTGATCCCGAGTTGGATTCTCCTGACGGATCCGTGGCACGAGCCACTCATTGTGCTGGGAACGTATTGCACTGTATTCATGATGTTTGACTTGTAAGTACTCCTCTTGTCTCGGAGTTGACCGAGCTTCTCAAGGCTGACAATTTTCTTTAGGGGCGTCCATTTGTACATTGTCCTACCGCAGGCTCTTCATTTTCTCGTCAGTCGCAGCTGCGAATGTCCCCACTGCCGTAGTGTCTCCAAGACTGGCTTCTTCTCGTCTACCGTTTCCGAGTATACACCACTTAGCGATGGCGATGAGCCACAAATGGAAGCTCGGGATCTTGAGGAGGGTAGCGGGTCTCGGCGCCTTTGAGGGGTTCACAAAACAAGATACAGGATATTCCTTGAGCGTATCTCTCATCGTGGGAGATGCAAACTTAGCTCGAGTTTCACTGGCAGACCTGAGCAGACGTATGGCAGCCTGGCGGGGTGTTAGATTTACACCTCATCCCACACTCTATAGATGTAGAGATCGGTGTAAAATTTTCCCTTTCCTCAAAATAGTCGGCTGCATATATAGGCAGCAACACTGGGCTCTGATTAGCTTTGTTGGACTTCACTTCATTCTCGGTGCCAATTGAGTCGGGCGACGTAAACTATCTGGTTACGAAGTATTTCCGATGCCCGTCAATCCAGAGAGAATTCAAGCCTCCGCAGCCAGACTTGTGTTGTAATGAGCAAGAAGTCAACTGACCATTGCTTTTCTCGAGCATATGATTAGATATCTTATTTCGACAAATCCAAGTCGGGGATGACTTGATTAGTGATATTGGCGTAAGGTAGTATGCAAAACTCCAGAGTAGTACTTCCAACTCAAATATTGGACCCCTAACAGCAGATTGGACAATCATGGCAAGGTTCAAACTTTGAATGATATCCCGTTTTCTTACGTGCTCACTTTATGCTTTCATCGAGACCAGACACTGAGGGGAAGATTACTTCATCACAGGTTGTCTTGTTCCTCCTCTCTTTTTTAGGCAAAGTTTCGGCGGAACAGTGAGCGAGAACGATAGCGAAAAAAGTCAAAAGCTGAGAAGGGATGCCTTGGTGCACTCTAATCCTCCACTCGCATTCTCATCTTCCGCGACGTTCTTGGATAACATGATTGTGTGAGCCCAATCTCCATCATCTACCCAAACTCCATTTGCCTCCTCCAGTCAGTTCCGTGTATGAAGAGCTCTGCACATATTATAATGATGCTATCCACAGACCTCACGAACCATGTTGGAATGGGTTATGCTGCCATAGGTTTAATCCTGATCCTCATTACCTATGTAAGCATTGTCTTCAAATAACAGACAGCGGATAGATGCCTATCCAATCAGTAGAGCCTCTATCCTACGATGATCTTGCAAGAAATGCTGTGCTATCTTCATTCAGTGCCCAGCAACTAATTCATCCAGACAATCCACACAGCCTTCATCAATCCCCTTCGACACATCCCAGGCCCATGGCATACTCTCCTCACCCACCTACCTCTCAAATACCACGTCCTCACTGGCCGCCGGATGTACTATGTCCACGCGCTGCACGCCAGCCACGGCCCTATCGTTCGCATCTCTCCCCACGAAGTAGCCGTCGCAGACCCAGCTGGCTTTTCCGCAATCCACCGCATCGGGGGCGGCTTCCTCAAGGCGCCGTGGTACGAGGAGTCTAACTCGCCTGACGGGGGCGAGCCGAGTATTTTTGCGATGCGTGATCCGAGGAAACATGCTATCCGCAGGAGACTACTCGGCAGGGTCTTTACGAAGGCTTCGCTCAGGAAAGAGTGGGAGGGCGTCGTTAGAGAGAAGGTGAATGCAGCGGTAGGCAAGATACGTGCAGAGGCTGAGGGGGGTGGGTGCTCGGATGTCTTGAAGTGGTTCACCATGATGGCGACTGATGTCGTGGCTCATTTGTGCTTCGGGGAGTCTTTCAATATGCTCGAACTGGGCGAGGTATGATGTTACTCAATTCCCTCGTACGTTTTGCTGGCCAGTACACTAACGACAAGATGAAAGAAAAACGACTACATGAAGATGCTGGAGCTTATATCGGTCCAAAACATCACGCGTTATGAGCTGCCCTGGCTGCACCTCGTCCGCTCTCATATGCCACTCCTCAAATTCTCGACAGATCTCGTCGACGCACAAGCCGTCCTTGACAGCTACGGTAATCGCGCGCTTGAGAGCCTCCGCCAGAACAGCGATCGTAACAGGACTCTGTTCGCGACCTTGCTGAATGCTCTCGACGCAGACGATATCAGCAGCAAAGAAGAAAAAGAGAAGGGCGGCAATGCGAAGTTAACGGAAGAAATGGTGCAGAGAGAAAGCCGGAGCATGATCATTGGCGGCTCGGACACAACTTCCATCACGCTGGCGTACCTAGTTTGGGCGGTCATAACGCGACCTGAGTTGAAAGTCAAATTGGAAGATGAGGTCGCGGGGTTGACTCTCGATTTCGACGATCATGGGCTTGAAAAGCTTCCGCTGCTCAACGCCGTGATTGACGAGACGTTGAGGCTATACGGCGCTGTCCAGGGACAACTGTCGAGGTCGGTGCCGGCGGGCGGCGCCACGCTTGGGGGCTACTTTGTCCCCGGCGGCGTGACTGTGGAGACGCAGGCGTACACGCTTCATCGGGGTCCGGAGGTGTGGCCGGATCCCCTACGGTAAGGCTCTCCCTGATTAATTTACGAATATGGTGTTGCGACGGAACGGCGTCGAAAAGAAGCAACCAGCTGACGTGACAAAAGCTTCGACGAGACACGATTCATGGACCAAACCAAACTCACGCCGAACCAGAAACTTCTCTTCTCGCCTTGGGGCGCGGGCTCACGGATCTGCCTGGGCGTAGAGCTCGCGAGAATGGAACTTAGACTAGGTGTGGCCGTGCTCTTTCGGGAGTGCAGGGGTCTGAAGATGGCGCGCGGGATGACGGATGAGATGATGGAGATGGAGAATTTCTTCATGATCAGCCCTGTCGGGCACAAGTGCGAGGTAACTCTGCCCTGACCTGATGCGCCGGTGATTAGAAAGAAAGAATCAGTGTGTGGTTTGTGGTTGCGTACGCAGTAGTCTGGTTCGGGGTTTCCGGATCGCGCAATTCGAGGCGGTCATTGAGAAGTGGGCAGAATTTTGGAGTAATTGACTTACGGCGGTTGCGTTTTTAGAATGCCATACCCGGATCGGTTGCCGCGACGCGGTGTTTGGCAGGTTTCCCACCGTTTGGTAGATCTTGAAGATGTTGATCAATTTGGACCTCTACTTACATCGATCTGTGTGACGCAGAGGGACGCCAGGGCTTCCTATCAACTATGCTATCAGTTCCCATCATTATCGAGAACCCCTCGTCCCTCTCCCGGTCTTGCAAGTAAGATCCCGTCTTGGCCAGGTCCCTCGGGAGGCAGCACGTGGGGATGGACCCTTTCTTGCAAGTGCCCTTTGTCACGGGCATTACTAGCTCGGCGCAAGTTTTTCTCTCGCTATTCTTCCAGAAGAATTGTAGAAGATTTTCAGATGAACGACTCATGCGTTCGCCTCCCTGTTCGCAGATTGCAACCGGCGCTTCTAGCCACTCACAAGTCTAATGGGTGCTGAAATGAGTGGAATCGGGCCCGCCACATACCGCGCTACCGCGCTTTGTACCTCCGTACCGCCGGCGCAAATTGGATGGGGCCCACAGCACCCCGTCCTCCGCGACCCCGGACCCGCCCGCCTCGGCCAACTTGGGAAGAATTTTTACGTACCTGGAATTGCCATCGCTCCATTTCTCAAAGCTTTTCTGCGAGACCGGAGATGGGATAGCTTCTGAAGCTTCGTGTCTATTCTTGTTGATGCGTTGTGTCAAATGCGACACGTTTGAAGTGCCATCAAGACCCTCACAGCATGTGGTCATCGTATCAACGTGGCAGAGGACTACATCCAGACCGAAAGCAGACCGAGGTGAAGAGGTGAAGCGCGGCCAAGCTCGGTGAGAGCGCCCAGCTTCACGATCTGCTGCAAGCTCTCATCTTCGCCCCTCATGCCCCCACACTACCCAGGAACGCCCCGCGAACTAGCCCAATGATGCCATTGTCTAGTGCCCAGTCCTCCGGTCTCGCCCTAGGGATGCGAAAAAAATCTTGCAGATGGGATTGACTCCCGCTAGGTATTTCATATAATCTGGATATGGGCCCCTCCACGTCTAAAAGTCCGTTCCCTCTGGACAACCTTTCGACTGTTCATTCCTTCAAGTTTCGAACAAACATAGGCATTTAGCCCCAACGGAACAATCGCCGGCTTCAGTCACTGTCCTTGAGAAACAGGATATGCAGCCATGACGGCGTACGATTCCTCCCGGCCCCGGTCCATCGGGCCCGCCGCCGACGACGATGTGGTCCGCGACATTGAGAAGTCTGGTGCCGAGGACCACCACGACCACCATGACGACAAGGCTGCCATCCTGGAGCCCCAGCTCAACGTCGGCGGCCATGGTCGCACCCAGCGCCGTCTTCGCGACTACCAGGTCACCATGATTGGTTTCTGCAGTGGTATCGGAACTGGTCTCTTCATCGGAACGGGCTCGGCCTACGCCAAGGCCGGCCCGGCTGGTCTTCTGCTCGCCTACATCATCGTCGGTGCCGTTTTGTGGTGTGTGATGCAGAGTATTGGAGAACTTGCGACGCTGGTACGTGACAAAAGCAGACGCTCTCTCACAGTTATGACGCGTAACGGCAAATTGACTCTTGATTACAGATTCCCACCGCCGGTTCATTCCCTCACTGGGCAACCCGCTTCATCGACCCGGCCGTCGGCTTCTCCCTCGCAATCTCCTACGGCTACTGCTACACAATCTCCATCGGCGCAGAAGCCTCGGCGGCTGCGATTCTGGTATCGTACTGGACAGACATAACGCCCGCGGTCGTCATCACGATATCCCTCGCCCTTATCCTCTTCTGTAATCTGCTCAGCGTGCGCTGGTACGGCGAGACCGAGGTCGTGGGCGGCTCCATCAAGGTCCTCTGCTTCATCGGCCTAGTCTTCACCTCCATCATCATTACCGCCGGCGGAGGTCCCAACCACGAGGCCATTGGCTTCCGGTACTGGAATAACCCGGGTGCCTGGGTTGATTACAACGGCATCACCGGTTCGACTGGTCACTTCCTGGGCTTCCTCGCTGCCTTTGTGAACGCGTCCTTCTCCTTCATTGGTGTATGTTATCCCCTGCCGCAGTCTCTCTCTTTTCCCCCTCAAGAGAAGAGAGTCAGAGAAGCTAGAAGATTCGCGAACAAAAACTGACACCAAAAACAGGTCGAGACAGTCGTCATCAGCGCCGCAGAATCAATCAACCCCC